CGTCCAAGCGAGGACAAGGCGCTGCTGACAAACCAGCGCTTGCAACCCCAGACCACAGTGTGGTCGAGCCCGAGCTCGACAAGCGCAGGGCTGAGGCGCAAAAGCTGGCCAGCGTCGAGGGCATCGACCAGCTGCTGGCAACCAGCAAAAACGGCCATCAAGAAGCTGGAGGAGCAGCTGGCGGCCACCTGGCCACTCTCGGACAGTGAGCGTGCGCGCGCAGGCCTTGGCCAGCTTGTGCGTCCGTACTCGTGGTTTGAGTCCTAGCTGCCCAGGCAAGCAGGGGCAAAGCATTGCCATCCTCCTTCTCCTCCGTCTACTCCTTTTCCGCCCGCGGGAGGAGGAGGAGGAGGAGGAGGAGGAGGAGGAGGAGGAGGAGGAGGAGGAGGAGGGAGGGGATGGGGGAAGGGGGAGGGGGAGTGGGAGGGGGAGAGGGGGGGGGGAAACGAGGACAAGGAGGAGGAGGAGGAGGGGAGGAGGAGCAGGAGGAGGAGGAGGAGCAAAGGAAAATCCGTCTGCCGTAGTTTTGTTTCCCGCACCAGCCCGCCTAGCGGGTGTCGTTCCCAGCCAGCTTGGGGGTTGGCGCGCGATGGTGACATGGCGGCCGTGGGTGACCACTATGGACCGACAGAGACATGGAGAGCGCTTCAAGAAGCTAGCGGGGCCTGACATTGACAGCATAGACATGTACATCGAGGAAACAGGGGCACCATCAGGCCCCACATCAGCAAGAGGTCGGTGACCAACCCTTGGTCCAAGAACTTGCTGGATGCTATTCAGCGACACAGTTGCGACCCAAGCGCACAAGACCAAGGATTTTCAGTGCAAGCTCATATGACGTGTGAAGTGGTGGCAGCATGAATACGGCAACCATGGCGCCAAGTACGGCAGCTGCACGACAGTCACATGCACGACGAGCACAACAACGGTTTCGGATATTCAGACGGCGATGACCTCGCGCCGCTTCTGGATGCGCTGGCTTTGCCAGGGCTGAGAGCATCAAAAAAGAGGCCATCCAGAGGCAAAGGAGGAAGCCGAACTCCGCAGCTACGACGGTCAGAAGCAAAGCTGCCAGGGCCACGAGCAGAGCCACACGGGCCACACCTGCAGAGCTACGAGGGCACCCTGCGGAGAAACGGGAGCCACCAGCAGCGTTACCACGACCACCAGCAGGGATTCGGCAGGGCAGCCGGCGCAGCCACGGCGACCACCAGCTGAACTACGAAGGCCACAGGCAGAGTTTCGAGGGCACTGCGCAAGGCCACGAGGGTGGCCTGCGGAGCTGCGAGAGCAGCCGGCAGAGCCACGAGAGCCACCGTCAGCAGTGCGGCGAGGGCCACGAGCTGAGCCGCGAGGGCCGCAAGCAGAAGTTCGAGGGCAGCGCGCAGAGTTTGCGAGGGACGCTTGCGGAGCTACGAGAGCCACCAGCAGGTTTGCGAGAGCCGCCGGCAGAGCTGCGAGGACCACCGGCAGATCCACGGGGCCGCCAGCTGAGCCACGGCGGCCACGAGCAGCATCTCGAGGGCAGCGCGCAGAGCCACGAGGGCCGCCCGCGGAGCTCCGAGAGCCACCGGCAGGGGTGCAATGTCCAACCGCACAGGCCCTGACATCGCACGGGCGCGTGCATTTTTGGCGGGCGGGGCCAGCGCCAGAAAATCTGGACCATCTTGGACATTCCAGAATCACCTAGCAACAAAGTGTTCGAGACCGAAAGCACGGGGGATGGACGCCCGAGCGATGGCAAGGGGCTGCGAGGGCCACCCGCAGGGCCACGGGGGCCACCAGCTGAACTGCGAGGATCACAGGCAGAAGTTCGCGGGAAACGCGCAGAGCTCCATCAGCAAAGCTACGAGAGCCACGCGGAAAGCTCCGGGAGCAGCTCGCAGAGTTGCGGGGGCCACCACCGCAGCTACGAGGGCCACAGGCAGTGCTACGGGGGCCGCCTGTGGATCTACCTGGAAAACCATTGGACCAAGGAGGGCACCCGCCAGACCAGGGCCACCAACACCCTAGCAAGCAGGGGTACGAGGGCAGCTGGCGGATCTACGAGGAAGACCACCAGAGGAGCACGACCTAGATACTGCGACCGAAGCAAAAGTCTTACCCGAGGCATTCGAGAAGGTCGATGTCGATGCCGCGACCTCTTGGCTATGGGCCGTGCCGCGATCAGAGGCCCAGAACCAGTACGTGCCGTGCGCCTGCAATGTAGCGGCTAAGTACTGGCACCACATCGCCCAGGTGCTCGCTGCCGATTGCAAGGAAAACCGGAATATCTTGGATGAGAAGGATGAGGAGGCGGAGTCCACAAAATTGAACGCCCAAACGGCCTGGGACGAGAAGGTGGATAAAGACAATGAGAAGGTAGAGGAGGTCGAGGAGAAGGGGGAGGACGAGGACGAGCTGTACTAGCAGTGCCCCGTTAGAACTGGCCATAAGGTCGGCCCAAATCGTGCGTATGCCATGCGGGAGTGGTACCAGCAGGGTTTCTCCCCCCCGCGAGGAGCTCCAAGTTAGGCCAGGTCCGTGGCCTCAATACGTCGACCTCGCGCAATCGACCTGGAGGTGAGCGAGGCGTCCGTCGCACAGTCACTGGTTCACCAGAACAGGTACTTCCACCAGACTTGCATGTTTTGTGTTTTGTATCACTGGAGTGATATGATCGACCCGTTGGGGCCAACACAGACCCCAAAAAGTTCCGTCTGCCGTGCCCGCTTCTTTGCCCGTCCCTCCTCCTTCTCACCCAATGTGACACGTGCTGTTTGGGTTTAGGCCCTGAGGGCACGACCTCGACATCCTATTCCGTCTCACCTTCTGCTCCTGGCACTTTTGCAAAGAGCCGAGTTCTGGCGTGGGTTCGGTGCCCACGCGGTGCGCGGGCCATGCCCCAGGCGCGGCCGCGAAGTGCGTGGTGGGAGTTGGAAGACCACTTGATGGCGATGCGCAGTAGGAGCACAGGAGGGGGCCGAGGAGGCGAAGGAGGAGGAGGAAGAGGAGGACGAGGAGAAGGACGAGGAGGAGAGGGCGACGAGGACGACGTCGACGAGGATGGCATCAACATTGACGACGCCGACGACGACGACGATGACGACAACGACAACTACGACGACGACGACGACGACGACGACGACGACGACGTTGATAACGGCAACGGCTGAGCGAGCGCGCCCGCTCCCAGGACTGGAGCCCCCCCGACGCGCAGCCGCAGAGCCCGCAGGACTCCTCCAGGTCGCCCGGCCGCGGCGGTGGCACCGACGGCAGCGCCAGCCCAAGGCCTTTGCGCCCCCCGGCCGCGCTCGTCGTCTTTGTCTCAGGAAGGGAAAAAACACACAGACACAATTAATCGTCGATTCCCCCGAAAATACGGGAAGTGGGGGGGAAGACACAAACCCAGAAAATATGGGAAAATAGGGGGAATCCTGTTATTTGTGTGTATTTATTGCGAAGGCCTTACGGCCGTTGCCGCCGACCCTGAAGATGACGAAAGACAACACGAGGGGGGGGGCAGGAGGAGGAGGAGGAGGAGGAGGAGGCGGAAGGGAGTAGGAGGAGGAAGGGTGAATGGGGGAGGAGGAGGAGGCCTTATGGATGTTGGTTGGGATCTCGTGGTTGACCTCTCGGGGGCGTCTGGAAGGCAACTTGAAGCCTCTTGGGGGCCGTTGTGGGGCCTCTTGGGGCCTCTTTTGGGCCTCTTTGGGGCTTCCGGAGGCCGTCTTCGGCGCATCTTGGGGGCGTCTTGGCGCCGCTCGGGGGCCTCTTGGGGCCTTTTGGGGGCCTCTTGGGGCTTCCCGGGGGCCTCTTAGGGCGGAAGTCTCGAATTCTCGGTTCCTCGTCCCCCTCTTGGCCGTTTCATGGGCCCGTCTTGGGGCCCATTGGGCCGTCTTGGGCGCCTCTTAGGCTGTCCTGGGGCCTTCTTGGGCCGTCTTGGGGCCCTCTTGTAGGCCTCTTGGGGCGCTCTTGTGGGCCTCTTGGGGGCCTCTTGGGCCGTCTTGGAGTGTCGGAAAGCCGAAAAGGCGAGAAGGCCAAAATCATTCAAAAACCGATGTAAAATTGACGATTTTGGCGCCTGGGGCCCTCTTGGGTGTGCTCTTGGGGCTCTCTTGGAGCGTCTAGAGGGCCTCTTGGGCCGTCTTCGGGCCGTCTTGGGCGTCTTGGGGCCATCGTTCGTCGAGTCGAGGCCCTCTTGTACCCTTTTGGGGGTGTCTTCTGTCGCTCTTGGCTCGTCTTGAAGCTTTTCTGAGCTCCGGGACCCCCCGGGGAGGATGCGTATCTGGTGGCGACCCCCCCCCCCCCCCCGGCGGGGAGGGTAGGGAGGGGCTTCGCCACGACTCAACTACGACGTTGCTCAATGTCGCTTTGGCTCGCGCGCTCAAGGAGACGGGGAACGACGAAGACGACGAGGGACAACGGAGACGGGGACGACGAGGACACGACGGAGACGACGACGACGACGACGACGACGACGGTGATCCACGCAAGACGACGACACCGGGATGCGTCTTCCACACGCCGACAGGGTCGGCGGATTTCGGGTTTCTCCTGACAGCGTCTCGACTGCAAACGTATTTCTCGGAGGTCAGCGCGAATTTCTTGGATCTGTGCTTGGCGCCCCTCCCGGGGGCGCGTAGCGCGCCACGGGCGGCGCCGTGGGCGGCGCCGTGAGCGCCGCCAGGGGGCCCCAGTGTCGATCCAGGAAATCCGCGTGATTCTGGTTGACTGGAACACGGTACGAGTGTAGCGAATGTCATTCGCAGCCAGGTACTGTTACCTTGGCAGCGGGTGGAACATCATTTTCTAGATGTCATCATGAAGAGGTCCTGATGTATATGACCATGTGCATCTTAGCGATGCCCTGCCCACCACTACTCTTCTCTTGCATGCGCGTGATGTTGCCCCAGTGTCTCACGCCCTCCGGCTCCACTTGCGGAGCGCCCCTCGACCCGACACGACGTGACGTTTTGTGCTCTTCGGTCAGCGGCGTCGGCGCCTCCTTGGTGACCCCAGGAACAGCCAGGGCTCCAGCGCGAACAGCCTCGGGGCGGCGACCGGCTCGGTGGGGACGTCGGGCAGGGCGTCGACGAAGCACTCGTACGACAGCAACCCGTCCCACAGGGCCTCCTTCTTCGTCGCGAGCGGGGCGTACGTTCCCAGGGCCAGGTCTGCGGGCAAGACTGCGAAGACGGCGACGGCCTCACGGCAGCTGCCGCCGACCCCGAATGCGGGACCTTCCAGGGGGCCCCCGCCTGCGACCCCCCCTGGGGACGCTGGGGGACTCCGGGGGTGCGATGTCCCGTCCCACAGGGCCTCCTTCGTCGCGAGCGGGGCGTACGTTCCTGTCTTAGATATTCGATTGGGGGACCTTCCTGGGGCCCACCTGACGGATCTGTTCGAATCTAGTTCGGCTCTAGTTCGGCTCCAGGTCGACTCTAGCCCGACTCATCTTCGACTCAGGTTCGACTCAAGTTCGACTCAAGCCGATGGACGTGCGACGCAGCATTGACGCACGAATGGAGCGAGTGGCTCCTGGAAGGTCCCCAGAATGAGCATCTAAGATGCCCGCAGCGTCTCGGATTACCGGACTCCCTCCCTCCGAAGCCCGAAGCGCAGCGCACATGGACTCCCTCCCTCCGAAGCCCGAAGCGCACATGTATCATACAGTACACGGCCTGTCTTTGTCGAGGCCACAATTTTGCCCACATCCACTGCGTCTCGGGTCTTCTGCATCCCTTCCCACAAGTTCAGGACACCGTGAGCATGGGGCAGCGACAGTTTTTTTAAGGGCCGCTGATAGCCCGGGTCATCGGGCCCGCCCGCCCCACCCCCTCCCTCCAGGTAACCTGCCTTTCTCGGCTGCGCAGGTCCGAATGGGGCACGGAGTACTGGTGCGCGCGGGCATAGGTGTGGGCTGTCCACAGCGAAGAGGGGTCAGGTTATCGGCCGGCACCTCCCTTCCCCCCCGCTGGGTAAGCCCGTCGTGAAGGTCGTTGAGGCCTGATCGGTTGCCCGGTCTGCTCCGTCGATCCTCGTCCCTTCTCCCTGGGTGGGGTCCTCCTCTTGGCCCCAAGAGGCCAAGCGACGGGTAGCAGCAGCCCTGTGGGCAGACGCTGAGATCGCCTCGCTTGGTGGCCCCTAGCTGGATAACCTGAGCTGTCGCCGAGAAGCAGAGACAATCACGTATGAGTTATACACGCGTGTATACATGCATGTATGTGTATATATATATATGTATGTGTGTATATGTATGTGCATATAAATATATATGTGTATATCTATGCATCGGTGTATATTTATATGTTGTTTGCTGTATTAATTTATCTATATGTATGTATATGTATAGCTCTCTCTCTCTATCTCTTGTCCCCGCAGGGCCCCGGCGCTCCGGAGGTCGGGGGGCAGCCTCGACGTGATCCTCTGCGAGCGCCGCCCGTGGACCGCGGTGGCCCAGCAGGCCGCCCTAGCCGTCGTAGAGCAGAAGACGTTCGACCTCGTGATGGGCGCTCGGGGGCAACGATCTCCTCCTCCTCCTCCTCCTCCTCCTCCTCTTCCTCCTCTTCCTCCTCCTCCTCCTTCTCCCCCTCTTCCTCCTCCCTCTCCCCGTCCTCCTCGTCCTCCTCGTCCTCCTCCTCTTCCTCCTTCTCGTCCTCCTCCTCCTCCTCCTCTTCCTCCTCCCCCTGTCGGCGACCCCCCAGACATCCTTCCTCTTCATCCTCTACAGTGGGGGCCCATGCCAAGAAACATCCTGCTTGCCTCCAGGGTGCCTTGGGTTCCTTGGGTTTCGATTGTTTTGCCGTGGAAGGCGTGACGTTCCCGCACCAATCATCAGTGGGCGCCCTCGGGTCTCAGGGTTGGGTTTCTTGTGGAGAGCTTCCACTGTAGGACCAGTCAGAGGAGCAAAAGGCACCCATGCCGCTACCCCTCCCTTGCTTTTCCCTTTTTCGGGACTCCTGGGATTCCCTCCTCGCCACCGCTGGATTCGCCTCGAACTTCTGGTCAGAACGCACCCCAGGAGACGTCTGGGGAGTAGCGGTATGGGCGCCGTTCCTTCTCTCCAGATACGCTAGAGGGAGGATGCACCGACCCCCAATCGCCCACTGTTCTCCGATTCTCCGATAGGGGCCGGATAGCTCCAACTTTCCCAGGGACGTGCGGATTCGCCAGCGCGGGCCCATCGCCGATCTATCGGCGATGTATCGCCGATTCCGGGTCTATGGTTCCCCGCCTGTGCCAGTCCCCCTCTATCGTTGCCCCTCAGGCGCGCTCATCGTCCTGAACGCGGTGCTTTCGGAAACAAGCCATGGGAGCCTTCTATACCCTCGTGATTCCGTCTCTGGCGTGCGCTAGCGTCGGTTAGCATTCGGTAATCGATGAGAAAGCGCCGCGTTAGCGTCGATTAGCGTCGACTAGCGTCGATTTAGCGTCGATTCGCGTCGACTTCCAGGGGCCAATAGGATGGTATGGGAAACTCCCATGAGTTGCCACAGAAGGTGCTCATGGGCGTCCAGGCCGACTTTGCCGCTCGGGCGGTGCGAGAGGTCCGAGGCGAAGATCTGTCCATAACCACAGCCTGGGGGAATTGATCTTCGGGGACCTCGGAAGGCGGTGGATATTAACATATTCGGGCCCCCTTGAGCCAAAATATATCCATGTGCACCGCCCGTTGGGTTCCCAGGACGTCGGTTCCCCAGGCGATGGAAATGGGTACAGCCCCGCCTCGCAAGAGGGAGCTGAGGAGCCGCCATTTTTACGGGTGATGGCCCAGTGCTTTGCCGCGATCTTCGTCTTGGAGCTGGCCCTGCGCCTTCTGGGGTACGGCGTCGGCTTCTTCTTCATGAGTGGCTGCTCCTGGAACTACTTCGACCTGATTGTGGTCACCCTCCAGGTGTTCGAGGAGGTCACGGCCATCATGGCCCACAGCAGCCAGTCAACTGGCTTCAGTTTCTTGCGGATCCTGCGGGTCCTGCGTCTGCTGCGCGTCCTGAGACTGGTGAGGGTTCTGAGCACGATCCAGAAACTGCGGACTTTGGTCAACTCGATCGGGAAGACAATTCCCGCACTGCTGTGGACGATGGTCCTCCTCATGCTGATGATCTATACTGCGAGTATCTGCTTCACGCAGGTAGTCGCCGACCTCGCGGAGGGCGATCCAGGTTCTGTGGCAGTGGGCACGGCCGCCCACGAGTACTACGGATCGGTGCTCGGCTCGATGATGTCCCTTTACCAGGCCATCACCGGCGGCCTGAATTGGCGCACCATGTCGGACTCTCTCCTCGCCCAGGACTCTCCGCTGATGGCGCTGCTTCTGTGCCTCTACGTGTCTTTTGCCGTCCTGGCCATGCTGAACGTGATTCTTCTCGCTTCGCGGGGTGCGCGCCTGGACGGCGCAGAGCATGGGCGTTTGGAGCCTCTAGTGAGCTTTTTGCAAGCTTCTCGGGTGTCTCCTGGGGGCCTACAGGGGGCCTCTTCGGGGTCTGTTGGGCGTCTCGGGCCGTCTTCGGGCGGTCTAGGGCCGTCGGGCGCCGTCGGGGGCCGTCTGGGGACCTCGCTCGGCAGTCTTGAGATCCTGTGGGGGCGTTTGGGGAGTCTCTTGGGGGCCTTGTGGGCCGCCTTGTGGGCCGTCTTGGGGTCGTCTTGGTTGCTTCTTGGGCCACCTTGGGGCCCTTGTGCGGGGCCCCTTGGGCCCTCTTGGGGCCATTGGAGGCGCCTGGGGACATCTTGGGATGTCTGCAGTAAGAAGTGGCGAGATCGCGACAATGTTCTAAAATACCATAGTCGCTCGCTGAAGTTTGCCTCAGGAGGCCCCCTTGGGGGTCTACTTGCAACCCTCTTGTTCCGTCTTGATGGCCTCTTGGGTCTTCTGCTTTGAAGGGGGGTCAAAGGCGAGCTTGCGAGCGACGCGCCTGCGTCCGCCGCCGCTTGGCTCAAGCGGTGGCCGCAGAACATATGACGTGCTCGCTCTCGAGGTACAACTTGCGTATGATGAACGGAATCGTCATTCGATTCTGGCATTCCCCCCCATCCCATGTTTTACCCCTTGCTTTTCTGCTCATACAGGTGAGCCTCGCGGATTCAGGTGAGGAGGGGGATGCGTACACATGTTGAAAGGAGTTGCCGACTGCGAAGACCGAGGATACCAGGCAGGAGGCAGATGACATGAAGGTGGATGCGGTGAAGCAGGAGGATGAGGTTGACGAGGCTAAGGGTAAGGAAGCAAACGGTGTCGGCAAACGCGTGGCCAAAGAGCAAGGATCATCTGTAACATCTGGGGGCGTTGATGAAGAGGCCTTCCACCTCCCCCAGCCTTGATTCCGCTCGAGTCCAGTCCCGACCAGATCCCCTACGACACCCCCCTGCTGTACTTTAGGCTTGCGGTGGCTCCGCCTCCGCCCAGGGGAGTGTTGTTCCCGCTGGAAATCGTCAAAGAGGAAGTAGAGAAACAGGGCAACACCGTGTAAGACAGGCTCGAATTTCAGTGGCATGCGCGCGATCGGTAACCTGTCCACAGACGACGAGAACATGGATGGTTTCTTGCGCCGCAGTGACACCGAACTCACGCGTGCATGGGATTGTGCGCACGACGCAGTCCCCATGGCATATTCAGCCAGCTCGTTTAATGAGCTGGCCAGCGGGGGTCTGTCTAGCCCCGGCAGGGGCTATGCGCTCTTCGAGTTTCTTCGTCGCCTGACTATCGACGAGCGCAGGCGTGCCGACCGTTACTTCCTAGTGAGGTACCACGCCGTCGAGCCGAAAGATATCCCCAGTGGCGCGCGCCGCATCGCTCCCATGTTCTCCGAGATGGAGTGCAACGTGTTTGCGCGGCTCAGCGGTGTGCCAGCAGAGGGGGCGGCGAGGCTGGCGAGCCTGATCTCGAGCTTGCTGAGGCGCAGCTACCTCCGCGTCATCAGCTCGGGAGGATGGGCGGAGTCCGGGGCGCTGGTCGATCAAGTTTACCATGTGGGGTCTGGCCGTGCCTGGGTGCGCTTCGCGCGCGCCGTCGCCACCTCGCCGAAGAACGCGGCTCAGATCTTGGGCTTGCAGATCGCGGGCGGCGAAGACGACCCCGCGCCCGAGCCAGAACTGTGGGAGAACAGCTTTGGCCGTGGGCGATCGGAGGGCAACTATGTTGCCGATGGCCGATGGGGGCGCGCCACCAACAATAAAGCCGCTCTACGCGCGGGCGTGCAAGGGGCACTCCATTTGAGCGGTGCAGCCTGAGAGGCATCATGTGCTCTTCTTGCCCGGTTGCTGCCAGATGCATGCATCTTTCATTGCAGCGCATGGCGAATCCGCCATCGTTGAGTCCATGGCGGGCGCGTTCGTCCTTCCGGATCGGGACCTCGAGGATCACTTCAGCACCGTTGCTTCAGTTCCCCGCCCATGAGGCGCGCTGTCTACGAGGTCTCTGGCCGCTGTGCGGCGGGGTCCCCAGGTGGGGCAGGGCGTCTACGGCGGAGTCGGTCTCGTCCCGCGAGGCCTTGCCGATCTGCTATCTTGAGAATCGCTCGCCGCAATAGCTGCGCCCAGACGGATGGGTGCGGGACTTCGCTGGCGACGGCATGGGCCCAAAGGTTTTCGACGTGGTAGATCCGGCGATGCTCGGCGGTCAGGTCGCCGTGGCGCTTGCGGCTCGCATTCTCGAGGGGCGCGAATTCGCGGCCGTGCCCGACGGGGCGCTGATGGTTCATTTCCGCCTCTCGTGGTCCGAGGCCCACCGGGCGGTCGGGCTGATTGTTGGCAACGTTGTGACTGGGACATCGTGGGCGCTGATGCATGATCGTCGGCTTTGCGGCGTTCTTCTCGTGCCCAGCGCCGACTTCGCGCGCGTCGATTTCATCGACTGACGGGCGGCTCTTGAGGGGCGAGGAAGTTTAAGACGACCGGCTTTCGCGGCGAATTTCGAAAGCTAGATGGTTTCCCCCCCGTCATGGACTGACGGCGGCTACTTGGCATGCGGTGCTGGACGTGGCATTGCCCATTGCTTCCGCTGTCGCCCCAAAGTCGCCCGCCGTGCCGAGCTGGCCCCGCCGCGCGGCACTGCGCCGACTCAGGGGCCTGCGGGGTAGGTTCAGTCGACCCCGCGATCCGGTATCAGCGCTGCTGGACCTAGGCGGAAGGCCCCGCGGCAGAGCCAAATAGGTCGGATAGCGGACGCGAGCGTCAACGAGACGACCGACAAAGGGCAGCAGGGCGATCGAGGAGGCGCCGTTGTCAGGCGCGAGTGGGGGCTGGGAGGTAAGTCTGCCTTTCGGACAAACGCTGTGATTCACTTCGCCTGGCCTCCAGAATCCGCCGATGATGCGCGTCCTTTCAGCGTGGTCCGACAGAGCCCGCCCCGTGCGAAGAAGCTGGCGCGGCGGCGGGCCAAAGCCAGGCCCGCCCAGGCGGCTGGGCCCTCGGAAAGGGCCCCGTCGTACCGATGAGGTGCAGTGGCCCCACTTCCGCCGCAGGATCAAGATCGACGATAACCGGTGCGATTATTCCGTTCTGGAGGCCTTCGCATGGGATCTCGAGTGCCATGCGGACCGCGGTAAGGACGCGCCATCCAGGGGATGTGGCGGGCGGGCCAAGATCGAGGCGCGGTCGCCGCGTTTCCACAAAGCCACCTCCGGCAGCCCATGCGCGAGGAGATCGACGAGCGCTGGCAGACTGAGGGGGCGCCGCGTGTGGTGGGGGAGGCTAGCGGGCAGACGCAGCTTAGACCCGCGGACCACTGGTTATCTGCCGACTGTCGGCGGTGCCCAGTGTGCTCGGTTTCGTTCGCCCGGCCCGAGACTCCGCCCCGTGGCCCGCGAGCAATCGCGTCGCCCCAGTCGCGCCGGGGCGGCCCGTGGAGAGTTGAATTGCAACAGACATGGCAAAGCCATGATAGGGGCAGCAACAAAGTTCTTTCGCGCGAGCCATGTGCCAGATTTCGGTCCAGAGCGTACTCCGCTGGAGGTGCTGACTAAGGTGAAGCAACCGTGGGCTGCGCCGCCGCCCCCCCGCAGGGTGCGACCCGAGAGCCGCGCTTCATGCGCGGTGGTGGGCGGCGCAGTCACATTGAGTGGCGATCGAAATGGCGGAGGACATCGCGTGACCTCTCAGCGCTGGCGAGCCGCGCGACAAACTTTCTTGGTGGGCCAATTGCGTGGCAGGCATCTTGGGCCAGCTGAAGATTCTGCGAGCACGCGAGGAGACCGTCGCCACGATTCACGTCTGCGTCGTGGACATGTCGGACGGAATGACGCAGCCCGTGTTGGCGAACACCCCAGAGGTGGAGGACGGGCTGCAATATCTTGAGCAGCGAACGCCGCGCTGGCACGACAGTGCGCTTCCCGACGCCAGACTCGCCCGCCCTCCTGCGGATGGCGGTTCGGTTTTTTGATGAGTGCATCGTGGGCACTGATTTGATCGTGCTCGACATGTGGTCCAAGTCAGGCGTGCCGCAATCGTGCCTGGAAGGCCCGCGGCGCGCCAGGGTCCGCCAGTGACTCGGGACTATGTACATTCTGGGCATTGGATCGGGTCCCGACCCGACCAACAGCGCGGGCGGCAAGCGTCTCGCGTCCAATCCGCCCGCGTCTCGCCCGCGCTCTGCGCGTATAACGTCTGCTGAACAGGGGTGCGCCGTGGAGTTCCGGGCGCTGGGCGCCCCTGCTGCCGCTGGCAAGGGGGGGGGGGGGGGGCGCGGCTGAAGAAGCGCGGCAGCCAGCTGCCCGGCGATCGCCCGCCGCCAATGCGACGTCGTGAACCGACGCTGTGGGAGCTGGAAGAGCCTGGGTGAGGGCGTCGTCGCCGGCGGCCCCATGCAGCCCCGCGGCTCATGTGCAGCGCCACCAGTGACAGGAGGGGGACGAACGCTGATGAGGGGCCCCGTCGCGGCCAGGAGGAAGGCCCACCGTGGCCATCGTGGAGCAGCTCGTGGTCGGGCACCAGCAGCTGGTCGAACTGGCATGGCTGGGGCAGTCGCCGGAGCCCGGGCGATCGCTGGCGCGAAGCCTGGCGCTGAATGCGGGCGATTCGTCACTGCGTGATGGGCTTCCTGGAAATGAGGGAGGACGACTCGTCACTATGTGACAGGCGTCTTGGCGAGCTGGCGCGGCGCGAGGGCGGGCGATAAATGGGGGGTCAGTTCGCCTTGGAGCTTTTTGGGGATTCTCGGGGGCCTCGTGGGAGCTTCTTGGGGGCCTCCTGCGGTTCATATTTGGGCCACGTTGCGTTCTCTTGGGGCCGTCTTGGCCGTCTTGGAGGCATCTTGTGCCGTCTTGGAAACCATCGCAGGGGACCAGCAGCCCAAACAGCTCTGGGCGTCTCGTCCGGGGGTCGTCCAGGTGTCGCACTCGACCTGCCCACCGCTCACGTGTTTCATTGTAAATCCAGAAGGGGGGTTGAAAGGGAAATGATATCACACGCCTTGCTCTCCCAATTTCGTCATCAGCAAACGCAGCGCACGTCAATTATTCATTTCGTTTGAAGTGCGCTGATCGTCAAATGTGCGTTTCGGTCATCAATCAGTATATCGCACTTCAACCCTTTTGCTTGTTTAAAAAATGGGGTCGGCGGATTACTGGCGTTTTCGTGGACGCCGCTCTGAGGAGCTGCAGCCAAGAGGACAAGCAGGATCTTGTCAACATGCTTGTTGATCTGGTGGCCAGCATCAACCGTGATGATCGCAGCGAAATCAGCCTTGAACAGTTCAGGGACAAACTGGCGTCGCCACTCGTCCAGTCTTATTTCAAGGAATTGAACCTTACTACCCATGAGGCGGAGGCACTCTTTGACTTGCTGGACTTTGATAAAACTGGTACGATTGACCCGGAACAGTTTATTATGGGTTGCATTCGAATCCACGGAAGTGCGAAAGCAATCGATTTGGTAACCTTGATGTCGGAAGTGCACTCGCTGCATCGTCGCTGGGAAGTGCATGCGGCGTATGTTGAGAAAGAATTGCAATCGTTGAGCGGTTGTCGGTCCGCATTTTCTTTGTCATGTGAATCGTCAGAGGCAGATTCTTCAGAACTGCCTAAGGCAGATCCTTCAGATCTGCCCGAGGTGGGTCCTTCATAGGCGCGAGAGATTTGCTGTTAGAGCTGATTGCCGAGAACGGCATGCGATCTTCCCTCATTCCCCCCAGCAGTGTTTGCACTTCGGGTTCCTTCTTCTTCTTCTTTTACTGAGGAATGTGTTGGGTCTGGCGAGGACTTTCCACGTTGCCGCCCGTGGCCGCCTCGTGGCCGCCTCGTGCGCGTTGGGTTTGGCAAGGTTTGACCACGTTACATTGCCGCCCGTGGCCACTTCGTCGCCGCCTCGTGCGGTGGGAGGGTTTGGCGAAGTTTCCCCACGTTGCGGCTCGTTGCCGCCTCGTTGCTGCTTCGTGCGCTGGGTTGGTCTGGCGAGATTTTGCCGCGTTGCCGCCTCGTGGCCGCCTCGTGCGTCTGGCGGGTCCGACGGGGTCACCACGTTGCGGCCGTGGCCACCTCGTTGCCGCCTCGTTCGGTGGGAGGGTCTGGCGAAGTTTCGCCGCGTTGCTGCCCGTTGCCGCCTCGTTGCCGCCTCGTGCGCTTGGTCGCACCACACATCTTGCTCCGTATGTATGTATGTATCTATGTACACACACACACACATATATATATATATATATATATATATATATCACCAGGTAAGTTGTTTCGCATAGTTTGCACCACACAGCTCACACCACATAGATCACATCCCATATATTTCACTACACGGTTTGCACAGCAACGGTGCAACATCTCATTGTTTGGTGTCCACGTTGGCGACCCGATTCTTCCATGCTTCATATTTGTGCTGATTGTTTTTCCATTTTGTAATTTCTCTAATTGTGTGCATTGCCATGCGCTATGGCGCCCACCTGCGACGCCGTCGCTCGCGACAGCTGCCGAACCATACACTAGGGCGTGAGTATCTGGCAGCCAGATTTGCGCCTCTGGTCGCATAGTTTGTGCATACATGTGTTCTGGCACTTCGCATCTCGCCCACAGTGCCCCCCACTAATAATACTCAGACAACTCAGCTGATAAGAATACTGATACTTGTAATACTCATATACATCATGATACTCGGACGCAGAAGATACTGCGAAGAGCAGATACTCGAAGAGCAGTAGATCTGTGAAGAGCAGGTGCTCATATGCATAATGTTGGGCAAGCTAACAATCATGTAATCTGTTTTCCAGCGTCGACCTCGAACATGGTGTTCCTAACAAGATGTGCGGTGTCATCTGTGTTGTGCTATACGAGTGGTGCAATATACGTTGTGCAGTTTATGTGGTGCAGCTTATGCGATGCAATCTATATGTTGTAATACATACTGTGCAATCCATGTTGTGCAGTCTATAATGTGACATCTACGTGGTGCAATATATGTGGTGTAAGGTATGCGGTGGAATATCTGCGGTGCTATCTATCTGGTGCAGTCTTTGTTGTGCATTCTACGGTGTGCAACCTATATGGTGCAATATGTGCCGTTCAATCTTTGTAGTGCGATCTACGCTGTGCAACCTATGTGGTGCCATCTATCGGCGGCGACGAGGCGGCGACACGGCGGCGAACAGGCGGCGACCCAGCGGCCAGACCGAAGACACGGCCCAGACGACGCGCGGTGACGAGGCGGCGACGGGGCTTCGACGGCGGCCACATAGTCGCCGGGCCGAAGACAGGGCCCGGTTATTTTGAACAGAAGCGAGGACCTTCAAGTGCAACCACTCTTCGGGAGACTGATAAGAATGCCAGTATCACCAATAATATTCACAGTCGTGATAAGGATGATCTGATCAAGAAGAAGACGGATTATACACCGATGTTGAGCCATCCACGCGGTGGCAGAAGCAACCGCGCAAGTCGTCACGACACGGCCTTGCCGCAGTACAGCCCCTCCACGAAAAGCGCACATCCACACACCCACGCAGATAGAAATCGAGAGAGAGATAGAGAGAGAAAGAAGAGCCCTCCACTCCCGCTCCAACACCTCCACTTCACGAGGCGGCTCCCGTATGTGGTTCTACTGCGCCCGCGTTCGTGTCGGGCCAAAGCTGGTGATCATCGCTGCGTTGCACCGGTGTAGACATCTGATGCGCTGCCAGGGCTGCAATGTGGCAGTCCTGAGCGCTTGAACGGGCAGAAGGACCCTCTGTCTGGCAGTGCGAAGGGACAGAAGCGCCTGCCCCCTCCCTATCCCCTATCCCTCCCCTCCTGGTGGCGGCAGGTTTGGGGGTCGCAGTACCTGGCGCGGGTGAAGGGCGGGGGCCGTCCCCCGTGCCTCTCCCCATGCGCGCGGTGCTGGCCACTCCAGACAGTCTCCCCTCTCCCCCTTGCCCTGGCCTCCTCTCGAACGAGAATGAACACATGAGCGCATGTCAGCCAGCGGGGGCCCCAGAAGTTGAGTTGTTGCACCGTGGGTGTGGAGGCTACGTGGTGCGCGCTGTGTGTTGTGAGCCATGTGGGGCAGCAGACGCGGTGCAGGTAGGGACGGCAGCGAGGCGGCAGCGAGGCGGCCACGGCGGCAAGGTGGCAAAACCTCGCCGGGCCCACGCTGCTCGGGAGGCGGCAGCGAGGTGGCCACTGGCGGCAGCGAGGCGAAGCCTCGCCATACCCTCACAGCGGACGGGGCGGCCACGAGGCGGCCACGGGCCGCAGCGTGGCGAGTCCTCGCGGGACCCACCCAGCGCACGAGGCGGCCACGGGCGGCACCTGGGCGAAGCCTCGCGGGACCCACCCAGCGCATGAGACGGCAACGAGGCGGCAACGACGGCCGCGTGCGGGAACGTGGCGAAGCCTCGCCGGAGCACCCCAGCGCACGAGGCGGCCACGAGGCGGCCACGGGGCGTCCACGTGTGGCACCGTTGCGAAAACTCGCCAGACCCGCCTAGCGCACGAGACGGCAACGAGGCGGCAAGGAGGCGGTAACGGGGCGAAAGTTCGCTGGTCCCACCCAGTGCAGGAGGCAACAACGAGGCGGCAACGGGCGGCAACTTGGCGAAACATTGCCAGACCCATCCAATTTCTCAGTAACCGAAGAAAGACCACTACGTGCAAGCACTGTTTAGGGAAGAACTTTTGAGGTCCCTGTTGAGTTCTTTGATCTGCGCTGGCCCCCCTGGCGGCGCTTCTGGCGCTGCCCCTGGCGCGCTCCGCGCGCCAGGGATCGAGCAGACGTCGTTCCAAGAAATCTGGGGTGTCCCTCGAGAGTTCATGTTCGGTATCTAGTGGCCTTTCGCCACTCCCGCCACCGTGCCTACGTTGTGGGTTTGGGCTCTCTTGGGCCCGAAAAAGTCATGCGAGAAGACGCGCCAAGCCCGAGAAGATTTGAGAGCGAGGAGTCCGGGCCCCGTAAAGACTCCTCAGGGGTGAGGATTGAGGCTTAGAGGATTAGTCCCAGGACATGAGGACACGCCCACTCCGTGCCCAGCAGCACGGTGGCGGATGCTTCAAGTGGTACCCGTCATGTACCGCTCGAGGCATCCCGTTTGTATGCCTCAAGTGGCACCGACGAAGTACCGTCTGAGGCATGTCGTCTGTATGCATCTTGTGGTACCGACGAAGAACCACTTGAGGCATGTCGTCTTTGTGCCTCCATAGGTACAAGACAGGCGTCACTTGAGGCATGTCGTCTGTACGCCTCAAGTGGTACCAGTCATGTACCGCTTGAGGCATTTCGTTGCATGCCGCAAGTGGCACCGACCAGAACCCGCTTGAGGCATGTCGTCTGTATGCCTCCAGTGTTGCCGACCAAGTCTCACTTCAGGCATGTCGTCTGTGTCTCTCAAGTGGTACCAGTAGTCGGCCTTTCGGCCGCCTCTTGGAGACAGTTTTGAGGCCTCTTGGCGGTCGTTTTGGGGCCACTTGGGGGTCTTTTTTGGCCCTCTTGGAGGTCTCTTGTGGCATTTTGTTGGCCTCTTGGGGGCCTCTTGGAGCTTTCTTTTGGCCTCGTCGTGCTAGCTCTCTGGCGGCAGAAAGCTTTACTTTTCATTTTCTAGTCCCCCTTTGAGGCCCCTCATGAAGCCATCTTGGGGTTGCTTGGGCCGTCTTGCCGCTCTCTTGAGCCTTGTTGGGAACCCTCTTCGGCCGCTTTGCAGTCCTGAAGCCTCTTGGGCCGTCATGCGCCGGTCTTGGAGGCCTCTTGGGCCGTCTTGGAGCGTCCGAACGCCGACAGGGTGACAACGCCAATTTTTTCAAAAACCAACGGCAATCAGTAGATTTTGCCTCTCGGGGCTCTCTTGTGAGTCCTCTCGGAGCTCACTTTCGGGTTCTTGGCGGCAGATTCGGCCGTCTTTGGGCCATCTTCAGCGTCTTGTGGCAATCCTTCGGCGTCTCGGGCTTCTCTTGGTCCGTCTTGGGGGCCTCTTGGGGCCCTCGCGGGCCCGAAGAAAACACGCGACAGCCGCGGCAGGTCCCAGGGGGCACGCGCCAAGGCCAAGAAAAGCTGGAAATTCGGGGTCCGGACTGGGACTCAGGGTATTGGGGCACAGGACCTGAGGACACGCCCACTCCGTGCCCAGAGGCACGGTGGCGGACTCTTGTTGCATCCATCTTCGGAGGAGGATGACTGAGGGGAGGAAGGAGGGAAGGCGGCAGCTGGAGGCTGGAGGTGGAGGGGAATGAGGATGAGGAGGACGAGGGGAAGGACGAGGGGAAGGACGAGGAGGAAGGAGGAGGAGGAGAAGGAGGAGGAGGCGAGAATCAGAGGAACAAGAAAGTATGATCATGATGCGCTCGAGGATTTCCAGGTTTTCCTGCTGCTCCGCGCGTACTCCAGAAATGAGGGCTGCTAGATAGATGATCCGGAACTCCTGGAACGTATCCCGAGCCGATCGTATCCTGATATCACCCACGCCCCATCGAAACTCGAGCGAAGGAACACCTGACCATGACCAACGTATCGCGGCATCTAGTCGGCGCCGGTCTTGGTCATGGCTAATTTTCTCTTTCCCTCTGGAAGCCTTCATTCAAGTCTTCCGAAGGCGGCTCGGCCCCGGGGGCCCCCTGTCGGCGACTTGGGTTGACCCCAAAAGGGGTCCAGCGACAAGGGGGTGGTGCAATAGATTTGTGCAACAGATCTGTGGGGTCGCACGTGTATTGCCTGATTCTCGCGTGCAAGACATTCGCTGCCATACAGTGCAGTACAATTCTCCAGCGCAGTACATTTGCGATGCAAAGGCCCCGCATCTATTGCACCACCCCATTGCAGCTGGACCCCCTTGTGGGTCACCCAAAGCGACCCCCCAGGCGGGGAGGAGGAGGACGAGGAGGAGGAGGAGGGGGAGGAGGAGGAGGAGGAGGAGGAGGAGGAGGAGGAGGAGATGGGGTAGGAGGAGGAGGAGGAGGAGGAGGAGGAGGAGGAGGAGGAGGAGGAGGAGGAGCGACCCCCCAGGCATCTTTTCTCCTCATCCTCCAGATTTTGTTGTATGCCGCCTCCTTCCGCCTCGAGCAGGCTCCACTGCCCAGGGCCACGTCCAGTCTGCAGAAAAACCACGCCCCGGGGAGGGCATTGTGTGTGCCAGACCCACGACAAGGACCCTCGCACAAGCCTAGGTTGTTTGTGTATCGTACACATGTTCATGTGTTTCTCTTTGTATATCGATGTATACATATATATATATATATATATATATGTATGTATATATATATATACATATATATATACAGTGGGAACCCATGCCAAGAAACACACTGCTTGCCTCCAGGGTGCCTTGGGTTTCTTGGGTTTCAATGTTTTTTTGCTTTGGAGAGCGTGTCGCTCCCACACAAACAATCAGTGGGCGTCCTGGGGTCTCAGGGTTGGGTTTTGTGGTCAAGCTCCTACTGTATGTATATGTTTAGAACAAAGGAGGAGGAGGAGGAGGAGGAGGGAGGAGGAGAGGAGAAGGCGGAGCGGAGGCGGAGGCCGAGGCGGAGGAGGAGGAGGAGGCGGAGGAGCGAGGAGGAGGAGGAAGATGAGGATGAGAGGAGAGAGGAGGAGATGAGAGGAGGGAGCAGAGCAGGAGCAGGAGCGGCAGGGAGGAGAGGAGGAGGAGGGAGGAGGGAGGAGGAGGAGGAGGAGGAAAACGAGGAGGGGGACGAGGAGGAGGAGGAGGAGGAGACGGAGGAGGAGGAGGAGGAGGGAGCAGGAGCAGGAGCAAGAGCAGGGGGAGGAGGAGGAGGAGCAGGAGGACGACGAGGAGAGGGATGATGATGATGCTGCTGATGATGATGATGATGATGATGATGATGATGATGATGATGATGATGATGATGATGATGATGCTGACGATGATGATGCTGATGATGATGATGATGATGATGATGATGATGATTATGATGATGATGATGATGATGCTGATGATGATGACGAGGATACTGATGATGGTGATGCTGCTGCTGATGATGATGATGATGATGGTGATGATGGTGATTATGATGATGATGATGATGATGATGATGATGATGATGATGATGATGACGACGATGATGATGATGATGATGATAATGATGATGCTGATGATGATGATGATGATGATGATGATGATGATGATGATGATGATGATGATGATGATGATGATGATGATGCTGATGATGATGATGGTGCTGCTGCTGCTGCTGCTTCTGCTGCTGCTTCTGCTGATGATGATGATGATGATGATGATGATGATGAGGAGGAGGAGGAGGAGGAGGATGAGGATGAGGATGAGGATGAGGATGAGGATGAGGATGAGGATGAGGATGAGGATGAGGATGCTGATGTTGATGAGGAGGAGGAGGAGGAGTATGAGCAGTATGAGGAGTATAGGGGGGAGGAGGAGGATGAGGAGGAGGAGGAGGAGGAGGAGGAGGAGGAGGAGGAGGAGGACGAAGAGGAGGATGGCAAGGAAGGCAAGCTTGTGCTGACCCTCCCTCGGCCGGGCGAGCCCTCTCACCGCGGCGGGCCGTCGCGGCTCAGCAGGGCCCGACCCCCCCCGCCTTGCGGCGCGGCTTCGGCGGCGCCCGCCCCGCCGCTGCGCCCGCCCGCCGATATCCTGGAGGGCTTGACGACGCTTCTCTGGTCGACTTGCGAGAATCAGGCCAGACACATCGAGGTAGATCGTCGCAAGCGCAGAAAAATCGAGGTACGTCTCAGATGGGACCGGAGTTGGTAGGGTCGGAGGCTCGCGCCGCATCGCCGATGCATCGCGGATGCATCGGCGATGCGGTTCGATGTGGAACCCGACTTTCTCCACGCCGACGTCGCCGATGCATCGCTGAGCGATGCATCGGCGATGCGGCGCGATCTTTCGACCTCGTCTGCTCCAACCCCATCTGGGAAGCCTCTGCCAGAGTCGTCCAGGTACACGTCGGCCGTCGGAAGTGCGTATTTCTGGGGCTTACAGAGGTCCCAATCTG